GAAATAACCAAATAAAAATTTACATTCATTTAACTGTAATAAATCATTAAAGAAAGAAATTGTATAATCACACAACTTATTAACAATGTTACAGATTACACACATATAAAATTAAATTTTTATCACCTCATTAAAAACTGCAATAAATCTATTAGAAACAAATCCTGAAAAGAACTTACAAATTTATACAAAATAACATACAGTACACTATAAAAGTTTGAATACTCGACAGATATGATAAATTCAATTATCATTCACTCTTTATTAGTAGTTTTGCTTTAAGCTTTTTCATTTCTTCTATATTCAGGCTTTCTTAATTTCATCTGGTAAATCATGGTATAGATACATACTCGTTATAAGAAAAGATTTTTTATATTTCACATTATTAAGTCAAGGTATTGTGAAGCGCTCCTTATGCTGGTTGTAACATTTAACATGATGTTAACATGAGAGAGAGTGAATGAATACCGTTTTATTTAAAAAATCTCGCAAATTTAGGTCGCGAACGACCCCTCTTACAATTAACGAGAGGGTGGAAGAGAGAAGGAAGATAGTAATGAGAAAAAACAGTAGAGCGAGTAAGATAATGAATCAACATCGTTTTAGCAACTTTTATTATTTCTTATCGGTATTCTTAATTAATAGAGAATATAGTTTTATTTAAAAACTAGCAAAAATATAAAGAGAGGGAGAGAGAGGGAGCGAGAGAGAGCATCGATATCGAATAATATGTGGAAACAGTTCATCCGCTGACTACATCGTTGTGCCGATAATTTTTTTTATCATTGTCAGCGATTGTCAACGCTGATTTTCGTGCCGTTTTTAAGCAGGAATTGTACTGGATGATGTGCATTCTCTCGGGATTTCAAAACGCTCCCTCTCCCGGACATCCGGACCGTTCATTAATGGGTCGTCTACGAGGGGAACCGTCGATTGGTTGAGTCACGCCGACAATAGGACCAGTGCACTTGAGCATAAATGATCATGTAGAAATGATTATGATCAAAACGGAGTCGGGGTCGTTCCGTCCCTTACGAAGCTTCTCTTTCTGTGGGTGGGGAGCGTTGTTTTTGACAAAGCAAGCCCTCGAAGTTAAAAGGATGTCAGAATTGGACATCTCTCGCAAGGTTTCGACAGCTGGAACGGGTTGTGCAACTCAAAAAAAAGAAGGAAAAATAGAAAAAAAGGGGGCGTTCTCTGGCCGGAAAGACTGTTTCTGTACGACCGGTTACGCCCACGGCACCCTCCTCTTCTGTTTCTTATACACTCCAGATGGATACGACCCGAGGAAATATGTACATGGGCGTGAAAGTAAAAATTGCGATCACCACTGGAATGATCGCGTCCCAGATGGACGGAATTATGCACCTGTGGGTCCGCTAGGCCATCTTTTAAGCGAACAAGAATAACCTGATATATGTGAAACAGAAACATACAACATTTATGAATGTCTTGATCGTTTAATGTTTCTGTTGGCTAAGCAGAAAAAAAGACACAAAAATTCTATGACACTCGCTCCCACTTGACTCATTTATTCTTTATTCATTCACATCTTAACTTAATCATTCATTCATTTATGCATTCACACATACTTGATTTATTCTTCATCCAACCTACTCATTCACCTGCTAAAACATTTACACAATCAGAAATTCACCATCTTACGCAATAATTTACTCAATCAAACACGATTCAGTCATTTATTCAATCTTCTCCCAACTACACCTTCACCTAATAAATCATTCACTCACGCATATGAGTGCACCTACTAAACCATTTTCTCATTCACTTACTCATATTTTTTGCATTCCCCTACGTAATCATTCACGTAATACTGAACAATCTCTCGTTCACCTTCTTATTCATTCGTCAATCATTCCCTCATTCAATCACCCATATTTTCTTCATTCAATCACTCATTTATTCCTTAATCACCTGTTAAATCATTTTCTCATTAACTCCATATTTTCTTTATTCACCATCCTGAACCTTCATCTACTGAATCATACATCCATTTATTTTCATCGTTCACTTAATCATTCAGAGCTTGTTTCTTTTTTGGGTAAACTTTTCACACCATCACCACGATTAAATATTATTGATTATGTAAGTATTTCAGAATTTTCGTGTCGCGAGACTAGACGAACCATAAAGACTGCCGAGCAGCGTTTTTCTTCTAAAGATGAAGAGGTTTTGTAAAAAATAAATTATTTCATCATACATAGAGAAACATGCAAACATTAATTCGCTTCGTCGTTATCAAAGGGTTAAAGAAGCGTAGGTAGATCAAAAGGATATCAAAGTGATTAAAAATGCAAGTATACCCGTCATCCTGGGCATTAAGGCTTTTCTTCAACTTTCCAACTGTGCAGGATATCTTTTTCCTTTTAAATGTGATTATGCTGTCTGCTGTCCTACCCCCGCCGCCAACCCTCGGGACGTGTCCTGAAACTTGTTTATCTTTATTATTATCATCAACGTCGTACGGCCTCCGCGTTTCCGCTTCCTCCATTTTCAAAAAGATACCCGTGATACGAGTTAAGCCTCTAATTCCTTAAGTACTGAGATTAAGCCCCGGAGCGGGCGGGAAAACTTGCAGTGTTCCATTTCGCCTGGAAAGCCCGTCCTTGGCCCAGTGTACCGGTGATGCAATTTCACTTGTCGATAAAAGAAAAAGGTTTTAAGGATTATCTTTTTTTCGTGGGTTTCACCTATTGAAGAAATGGAGTATTGCACAAGGGTCGAGAGCATGACTCAAATAGGTTTATCTCGGAGCGTAAGTCCCTTCTCCTCTCCTTATTCGTTTGGGGAGTGGGTGGGACATCACGTGTACAAATTGCATGTTTACAAGGTACGTGTTCACGAACGGCTCAATGGGGTGACGTAGCCGGTTCTCTCTCATTTGGGCCGATCTTGAACTCTAATGGTGATCAACCGGGTGGAAGGAGTTGGAAAGTGAGTCAAATGGAATTCGAAATCCAATGACTCAACCGGTCCCAAACCCGACGTTTGACGCCGACGTTTCCCCCCTGGCCGCTACTCGGGACGAGTTTCTAATTCTAATCGGGTCGTCAATTTATAAATACAACAAGACATTATAAATCCTTTGAAACGTCGCTGAAATGACAGCTGCGAGACCGGTTTCTTCCGAGCGTCTCTGATCTGTCTGATCTCGCTGTATCACAAGGCCACGCTGGTCAGTAAATCTTCATACATTCAACTCCTCACATAATAATTCATTCCCATACACATTAACAAACTCAATCTCATTTAATGGAGGAAGATAACAAATGCATGATTGAAGCAGGTAGCAGGTGAGTGATCTAGTGAATTAGTGATTGAATTGGAAAGTGAGAGATTGAAATGGTCGATGAGTGAGCGACTCATAATTGGAGGAATTAGTAAGTGAAATAGGAAATTATGAAAAGTATGAGATTGAGTGTGTGAAAGATTGAACAGGTGAATGATAATTGAAGCTAGAAAATGAATAAATGCACGAACTACTGAACCTACGAGTGAATGAGGGACTGAAATGGTCAGTAAGTAAATGTGAGAATGTCGAAATGAATGAGCAACAAACAAATGATGGAGTAAGAGACCGAATAAGTTAATAGATGAACTACGAAACAAGTGAGAGAATGATTAATTGAATGAACGGATGAAGGAGTAAACGAAAAAAAAAATTTTATGCGGGTCTGGATAAGTGAATGAATGAGCGAATGAACTAATGTGTGTTAGGGTGAAGGACTGAACTGGTGAATGAGTTAGCGAATCAACAAATGAATGAATGATGGGTTGTGAAAGATCGAACAGGTGTATGATAATTGAAGTTAAAAAACGAATAAATTCACGAACTACGGAACCTACGAGAGAATGAGGGACAAATGGTCAATAAGTAAATGTGAGAATGTCGAAATGAATGAGCAACAAACAAATGATGGAGTGAGTAAGAGACCGAATAGGTTAATGGATGAACCAGGAAAGAAGTGAGAGAATGATGAATTGAATGAACGAATGAAGGAGTAAACGAAAAAAATCGTTTATGCGGGACTGGATAAGTGAATCAATGAGCAAATGAACGAATGTGTGTTAGGGTGAAGGACTGAATTGGCGAATGAGGTAGTGAATGAAGAAATGAATGATGAGCTGAATTGTAATGAGATTAAGTAGCGAGAGATGGAACAGGTGAATGAGTGAGTGAATTAATGATTCCTAATTGATCGAATGAATAGGAGACATACAGGAAAATGAGTTTAAAAAAAACAAGGGTATGAATTAATGAGTAGTGGAAGACTGATCAGGTGATGAGTGAACTATCAAACTAATGGGTGAGTGATTGAGTGAATGACGAAATGTGTGTGTGCGTGAATGTTTGAAGGAGAGGTTGATTATGGCGAAGCAGAGAGTTAGTGTGAGGTTATGTGCGAATGAACAATGGTGGTTCATTTAAACTTGCTCAACCACTCAATCACTCTATCGTTTACACATCGCCTCGGAGGTTTTGTTGCGTTCAGATGTTCGAGCACTTGTTCAACAAAGCTGCTACATCTCGAGATAAGGGTCTGGGAGGTAGTGTTTACCGTCTGGCAAATCGTCTGTAAACTCGACATTTCTATTGATGTCACTCAACAAGCCCCAACATCCAAGGCCGTTAAAGGCAAAGGTAGAAAAAGAAACAAAACACCGAAAATATGCCCGTTTCCCATCGGAATCGTCTCACGCTCCGATGTACAATTAAGAGGTAACCGTCTCGCAGATATTATCGCACGGCCGACTATTTATAGGTGAGGAGAATGGGAAAAAAAAGCCGGGGGTGGTGGTGTCGGGCCGAAATCACCATAATGGGACTTCCTCCTCCGGTCCAAGGTTGTCGGATCGCCCTGTGGACCCCGCCCGGCTGCGGGTTGAACGCCCTGGGATAAAAACCGTCTTCGGGATATCAAATAACAATAACTCGTCACAACTTTATTGTTCGATAATAAATAATATTTTATTTCCAGGTGTGACGATGCGGGAGAAGAAAGGAGGCGCTCTGAGCAGAGTGCAGAAGATCAAGAAACGCCTGAGCCACAGCTTCGGAAGATTATGTAAGTACCTTTTCCGTAGCAATCACGATTCGAATTGAACGTTAATCTCGGGTGCTGAAATCTTCAGTGGCGGATCATCCGAGAGAATCCTTCAGGGATTAGCCGTCTGGTCGCCATTGTCGAATTCCCATTGTAGATGACCTCTGACATCTGATCCTAAGCTTTCCTTCCTCTCTAATTGTTTTGTTTCAATTTTATTCCCTTTGCTTGGTTTGATTAATCAAGGAATAAAGAAAGGATTCAGTGTCTTGAGTCGAGGAGTGTAAACAATTCCAGAGAACGCGAATCCAGCGGAGGTGTGAGTCATTCCGTCCTTGGCGACCGTTCTCCCACCTGGCCCTGTAAGGACTGCCCCCCGCATTCCGAAGCGGTTTCCTGGACCTGATAACTCATTCATCTAGGTTCGTCAGCGGAAAACAAACAAAGGGACGCGGTGGATCGCCCTGTCTCGCTGTTTGACCGAGGAAGACGCTGTAAGATCCAATCGCGGAATCATCTCAACGGTCCTACCAACATCGGTTTTTCTGTGTCATAAATAATTAAATTCATTCATCCGTTATAAAAATTTATATAATTAAATTTTAAGGACGTACATGTGGTAAAATATACAGGAGTGTGCTTTTTCCTCCAATTTTCGCTTAACGTCTCGCTTTACCTCTGCTTCGCCAATTTCGGTATTTCTGACTATGAAGCGGTACCATGATCAATACAACAAACATCAGGCCTAGTTGTGATAATGACAAGAAAAGCGTGTACGAGGTCATAAGTAATCAAAATGTAAACATTAAACAAATACTGGTTATATTTCAATAAAAAACTTCCTTCACAGGAAAATTCACTTTTCCTGGAATTAGACAAGAGAAAAATGTAAATGATCGATTATCGAAAATAAAATATCGATACTTCGACGCTATCAATCGATCATCGTGCCTAGTATATTTTGGAATAGTCTTACGAAACGTCATAACGACGTCACTATCAATTTTAATATCGATCAAATATAGTAAATTTAATTGCATCGAAAACACATTATCGATATATCGATAGAATTCGATAATACTTTTCGCTACTTCAAGATATTTGAATATAGATCGTGTCTAATCCTCCTTAGGCACGAATCTGTATTCACAGTGGCAATGCTAGTATGATTAATCCAATATTGATGCTAATTTCTATCTCTAAAATCGATTATTTAACATGGATATGAAATTTAGTATCGATAATACTTCTCTTTATATAAATAATCACTATCACTTTCTTACCCCACCCTTACTATTTCTATCGATATACTTTACCGATGGTCATAATTACTTCTCATTTGTAAGAAATAGTAATCACCATATCGTTACTAGTATCGAAATGATCGGAAGTCCAATATCGATACGTTGCATTGATCGATACATATAACATCGATATTAAAATAATATGACGCGAGGATCGATAATACAATATCGAACTGCGGAATATATCGACTAGCGATTGAAATATATAATCATTCTTTAGTAAAGACGTAAGAATTTCGACATATATGTCAATATGGTTGCTATCGATCTGGAATTGAAAATCGAACATGGAGATTCGACTCTATGAACGATAATAAGGTAAATATCGATGCCTGTATATCTAATATAGGTATTTATATGACCATACGTAGTAATCTGTAGAAATCTAAGCATCGGTCATACGAATTTATGGACGAGCCAACATAAAATATCGATAATTGGATAGTGATACCTAGTAACACTTTGGAAGTTGAATATTGATGATTAACAATCGAATATCGATACTATAGATGGCCTTACCTAGTAAAATGTTATTAAGCTAGGTTTGGACGATTAACCATTGAATATCGAACGTAAAATATCGATAATTGGATTGAAAAGTATCGATGATTACACATCTTATATAGATTGTATGGAATATTGATTATCAAAAAAGGAAATATCGATTTTCTTTGGGAAAAAAACGATCAATTGACCGGAAACTAATCGTCGTCGACGATCAAGTATGGATTTAAAAAGCCAATTATCGATGGTTAGGACACAATCGAATATCGAAACTCTTTGATACTTTTTAATATTAAATTTAAACAATGTAAATATTGATCTACAGTTTGATGATAATATCGAAATATCGATTCGAATATCGATGTTGTTTGCTAAAATGATTCTTTACTTTTGTACATATTTACAGTTTTGGATTTGTCGATTTCATCATCGAAGTATCGATAGTATAATTGCATATCTGCTTATCGATACTACTATCGATATATTCTTTTTTTTAAACCATTCTACCGGTGTAGTTGGCCTTTGAGGCGATGGGAAAACGAACAGGATCGCTCTTTAATAAGGTTATTCAAATCAAATGATTCGCTTTTTTCCATTCCCACGCTTGGCGTTTTTAAAACATACTGAAGGTCTCGATGAAAAATCCCACCTCTACAAACGGATTTACATAAATAAAGTAGATAACAAGTGCTAACAAGAAAGACCTGCTACAAAAAGCAGATATGCCTAAGTTTACATATGCAATCAATTATTGTAATAAAATGAAAACGATAGTAATCGATAAAACTATTCCTAAGTTTATTTAACCTGTTCAAGGACTTGAAATTTCTTTGGCAGACTTGGTGAATATACAATCTGAATAACATATACGGATTCAGCAGGTGCAAAATGCGCATAATAAAAAAACGGAGAGGCTGTAGTATTTATAATAACACCTGTCCGACCAGTTTATGTCCGACCAGGAAGGCTGTCGAGGTCCTCAGGACACGGCCTCCTGTTTGTTCTTCGTCTTCGTTGGTTTAATTGATTTTTCGGAAAATCCTGGAAGCGGACATCATTGACCCAGTTCGAAAGGACGCCCGCCTCGCTCGAGATTTCCTACTCGGAAGCCGGGGCGCGCGCCTTCGAGGACCCGCCTTGTCCTTCGTCCTGACGGCGTCCTCCGCAGGTCTGAAAAGAAAAGCCTCGTGTTTTCTGGACCGTGCGTCCCTAGGGGCAAATCGCGTTAATTGACAGGAGGTGCAATGTATTTTAATTTTTAAATAATTCTTGTTTTTCTTACAAAGCACGTTGGAACTGAAGAGCTTTCTGAAAAGAGAAACTACAATACTTGACTCGAAATCCCGTGATTACAACTCTGATGATAAGGACAGAGCGATTAGATCTGTCTTCAATTACAAACGAAAATAATTGAACCGGGGAGTCCGTCAAGGATACCATAATATCCATTGTATAACCATCGATACTAATTTCATCGATACTTTATTACATATGTTTATCCCTTAGTACTACTTAGGACCATTGATACTAAATATCGATATTACTAAAGATTACTAGCAATGACCATGAAAGTATGGAATTTTTCAATATATAAATAGTTGAACATCGATATTTAGCTTCCTATGGAATACCAGGTGTGGTCATTAATAGTATAGAGCTGTCGATATTTAGCTACCATCGACATTATTGAAGTACCCCTATGTTGCTAATATCGAAAATATAATAATCTATATTTAGCTACTATAGATATTATTGAGGTATCCCAACGTTGCATATATCGTTATTGTAGTCATCCATATTTAGTTGCTATCGATATTGGGCTACTATCGATACTATAGAGTTATTAGATCCATATATTATTACATTGAGTAATTTTAAGTAATCGACTATTTCGTATCATAGAGACTTTTATATTTCATTGTGCCTTAAGTATCGATATTTGGCGTTTTAATACTCCATACTTCTTCATCGATATTTTATTACATATGTTTATCTCTTAGTACTACTTAGGACCATCGATACTAACTAATATCGAGATTTTGCTTTTTATATTTGTGTTAATTCTTAGAAGTTAATGTTACTGAAGATTACTAGCATCGATATTTTTATATTTCATTGCGTCTTAAGTATCGATATTTAGCGTTTTATACTCCATTCTTCATCGTCAGTGATTACAATCATGAGAATTTTGTATTGTGTCTTCCTTAGTCAATCGATATTAAACAGAGTATTGATATTTAGCTAATGTCGATAGTCGACTCAATAGTCAGTCAATAATATTTAGGAGCTTTTGCTAATCGATAGTTTCACATATCTATATTTTGAATCCTATATTCGATTGTGTCCTAAGCATCGAAATTTGGATTTCGATATTCGATTGTGTTCTAAGCATCGAAATGTGGATTTCGACATTCAATTGTGTCCTAACCATCGATTTTTGGCTTTTGGAATCCATACTTGATACGCGACTACGATTAGCTTCCGGTCAATTTGTAACTTGTTCGTTTTTTCCAAAGAAAATCGATTTTTTTTATAGTCAATATTCCATACAATCTATATAAGTTGTGCAATCATCGATACTTAGTTTTCTAAGGATTCTAACCTAACCTAATTCTAGTCTGTGTCGTATCGATATCTTTCTGACGGTAATCGATAGCATCGTATCGACATTTTGCTATTGGACATATAGGTACGTAGGAATTGTATCAAATCATCTTTGCTTTCGATATTCGATTATGCCTTAAGGGTGGTTATGATATTTTGTGATTAACGATCGATCTTTAGCTTCGTAAGGATTACTAGGTATGGCCATCTTGTAGTATCGGTACATTTAATGATATTTAATGATCGATATTAATTTCAAGATCATGGATATTAATAACCATATTTTACTTTCTATGTTGGGTAAAATCTTGTGATGGATGTAGATCTGTATTGAACTATCTATATTTTTAAGTCCATTTTTCTCTCTAGTTATTATTTGGAGATCGTGAGGTGAGGTCTGGTGTGACGTAGGTTTTAGAAAAACATTTTCTTTATCATGCCAACGTTTCGATCTTTATTGAGATCATCTTCGGGGCCTGTGAAAACAATGTTTATAAATCCCAGGCCAAACACCACACATTTCTCTCTAGTATCGAACTATGATTTTTATGATATTAAATAATATCAAAGTGTGATGATTATTAGTGACCATTAATCAATAATTATTCC